GTAAGTTTTTTTGTCTGAGTAGGTCCATCAACACCTTTGAATGGTATTTTTTGTCAAACGGTGTTATTATGCGAAATAATCTTCGCTAAAAGCATGTGAACATTTTTGCATAGTGAAATAGCTTTCCTTTTGTTTCAAAGGGTATACAATACTTTAAAAACAAAGGATTTTCTCCCAGAAAAAAATATGGTACAGCTGCAAGAGAATGATCAGCTTCGAAATTTGGAAATGGTTTCTACTGGAAAAGCGCGCGGAGGTGGATCCGAACTACATGTAATTTCTACCACAAGATTTGTTGGCATATGACTAATGACATGGTCTTCTGAGTGAAAAACTGTATCTTAGCTATTTTATTATCCAAATACAGGGATAACCTCTTGCAGAAATGAAAATGAAAGTCATAGATCTTCCCATTCTTCCTCTCAAAGATCAAAATTTGTTAGGTAGTTCGCATCGATCAGTAAATTTGAGACTTAAAAATTGTAACGTTTAACAGCATGTAAGGTAAAGCTATTAAAGTACATTCCATTGAATAGCAAGTAAAAACGTCCTCACATTTCCGTTAAATAAACCTTTGGAAGCCAAATTTTGCCGTCTAGCATCGCTAGTCTTCTTGTTATTTCCTGTATATTACCATATTCTGAAGCATTCCAAACAAGGCGGCTATCTCTCCATATCTGAACAGCTGCTTCACTAACTTGAACTTTGTATAAAATGATATTATCCGCATAATATTGCTTGACAGATTCACATAAAAAGCTTGAGATTCATAAGCGGAAGAGCAGTCAAGTTGGTAGATAATTTATTCCCTACAAAGTACTATGAACTTACCAATAATAGGCCCCCATGTAGAATCATCAATTGTTGTTCTTCATTCTGCAAAAAATAATATAAGCTTGGTCCAGAGGCAATCTATTCTTCATAGACTAATCTAACCATTCTTTTTGCTTTCACTCATAGAGTAAAACGTAATTATGAAGTTTTGGTTAGAAATTTAGGCCGTGGTTTTAGTTTTTTAGAAATTCCTTCTTAAGTATTTTTTTACGAAATCGACGGACAATAAGCAGCTAAACTCTTACTAGACTCTCCACGTGATCAACAAAGAATATGGGCAATACTTCAGCTGGAGGATCAGAAGGAGTGCTGGCA